AATTCTTCTAATACTTAAAATCATGGGAAAATGGTCAAATAGACTCTTAAACTATAGGTAAAAGAGCAATTAGGCCCTTCAACTTTAAAAATATGCAATTTGACCCTTCAACTTGTTATTTTGAGTCAAATAAACCCAATTGCAGGTTTTTAACTTAGAATAACCGGTCAAAAAATTCCGGCGATATATTTCCGACGATATTTCCGGCAACAACAAATTAAAAAAAAAAAAAGTAAACCGGTGAAATTTTCGACAAAAGAAGTGACCAGCGAAATTTTCAGCAAATCTGGGTCGGTTGCTAGTCACAGTATTTTGTGTTGTAAAATTTGCCGGAAGGTGGCCTGAACCCTAATGACCTGTGATAGCAGGTCATTAACTTGTTTTTGGGCTTCATTGCACCTAAACCAATTGTTGATGCGTGTAATTGCACCTTTAAAAAATTTAAGGGCCTAATTGACTTTTAAGCTAAAATTTGATGGCCTATTTCCCTAAAATCATTAACCAAATTAACGTAATAGGTCAAAGTGTTACAATGAGATTTGAATCCTTAGGTTATCCGCACATTTGTAATAACTAGTAATTGTCCCGTGCGATGCACGGTATAAAATTATACTCAAAGTTATCCATTATTATTATTTGTTATTTAGTAATACTAATTACTAATAAAAAGTAGAAAGCATTACTCTATTGGTCAACAATAAAATTAGAAAACTATAAAATGAAATATTTGAAATATATTTATAATATAGTTACAATTATTGAAATTGCTAAGATATACAATTTTAATATTCATATCTTTCAATATATTACAAATTATTAAATATTGAAACGTACTTATACTATATAGATACAACTATTAAAATATATTAAACTTAAATTAGTACTAAAAAAAATTAATTACACACATTAAAAATATATATAAATTGGGCCATATGATATATATAATGACTTAACCGTTCAAAACTTAAAAAGGTAATCCCAACAAAATAAAATCTGGTCCAACAATAATAATCCCACTTATTTCTTACCGAATTGTTGGTCTTGACTGCTGTCGTTTAATTTTAAAAAATCATATTCCACAAAACACCTAATCAAAAATTAATGTTAAAAAATTATTTTAAAAAATGTAAAATAACAAATTGCAAGCTTAAATATGAGTTTTAGAAAATTGTAGTATTTTAAAAGTTATTCTTTTAAATGCATTATTTAGAATGAAATAATAAATTTAAGTATAATATTTAGCATAATTCCAAATATATAATAGTTTTACCACAATTATAATTTTTTATAAAAAACAAAGAGAAAATTTCAATTTTGGTCACACGACTATATGGGCATTGTTAATTTTAACACCTGACTTTTAAAAGTGTTAATTTAGTACCTTGACTATGTAATTTTTGTCAATTTTGGTCACTCTGGCCAAATTGACAGTCAAATTTGGCCGGAAAAATTTAATCCAACATTTAGTCTAGAAATGATCAAAAGACGATTTTGCCCCTCAGATTATAGACTAAATATTTGATTAAAATTTTCCGGCCAAATTTGACCGTCAATTCGGCCAGAGTGACCAAAATTGACAAAAATTACATAGTCAGGGTATTAAATTGACACTTTTGAAAGTCAGGTGCTGAAATTAACAATGCCCCTATAGTCATGTGACCAAAATTGAAATTTTCTCAAAAACAAATAACGTAAGTTTATTTGGAACTGCTGATTTTAGCGCTTCAGAGACAAAAACCCCTTTCACTCTGTTTCTTACCCTCGCCGCCGCTCACCGCTCTCACCCTCACTCTTTTATTTCTCACCTACCCATCGCTCTCTAACGTTCTCCGGCTCCGACTCGCACCCTGTCACCCCTCTAGCCCACTTAGCCTCTCCGTGGCTCTATCGCTGGCTCTATGCCTCTCCGTTGTGCCGTGACTCCGTCTCCGCCTCTCCGTGGAGCCGTTACTCCGTCTCCGCCTCTGTGGAATCGTTACTCCGTCTCCGTCTCCGATTCAGAGAATCCTCTATCATCTCACTTTCTGAGTGTCAGAGACTCAACGTCTCAACTCTCAGCCGCTCTTTCTAATATCTGTATGGCTCTGTACACAGAAAACCTATTTCTCGACTTCTCCGGTCACTCTGATCATGAAAATGTAGCAGGTATTTTTTTTACTTTATTAGTTTTTTTTTTTTTTTTCCAAAAAATTAAAATGTTTACCGTCTTTGGTAATTTGAAGTAAAAACAATTTATAGTGAAAGATACTATTAACTTTATTTTCTGTGCCTAATTAATCAGAATGTAGTAAAATTGATATTATTACCTATACATTATAAACTAATACCTATTTTGATGCATTTCTAAATCTGATTTCAAATATGGAAATCGTAGATCTGAGAATTCCACTTCTTTCAACTTGGTGAGATTGAAGATGTTGCCAAAAGGATTAGCTATTCCGGAGCATGGACCTGACCTGATGTGCGAAGAACTGATGCTGCTGGTTATCAAGAGGTAAACATATTTGCTCTGGAGTCTTTTGAATATTAGTAGAAGCAGAAATTGCAGAGTAGACATATTGAGTATATAGAAAGTAACATTACATGCTATGAAAAAATGTAATTTCCATCACAGACTTAGTGTTTTAATCTCTACACCAATTTTTTTCTACACAATCTCATAGAAAACTAAGAAGAATACCTTATATAGATGATGTTGTCTTCCTCTTGCCTCCTATTGTTGTGCTTCCTTTCAATTTTTTCATGAATGTTAAATATAATATGTAAATTTGAAATGCGTTTTGTGAACTCCTTTTTGTTTTATGATATGTTAGTGGTCAACTTTACAATCTACACTTCTGTCTTATGTATAAGAGATACTAAAACTGGGGTTCTTATATATATACATATGTATTTTAGTGCATGTGATTCTGTAAGTATAATGATTTTCTTTTGCTTCTAAATCTGACAATAAATTAAATATACCATGTCTGTAATCCCATATATAATTATTTGCTATGATGATCATACTTTGTTCTTGATGATTTTAGGTGGCAATGGCATAGAGAACCTTGGTAAAGCAAGATTACATGTTGCTTGGTATGCTGTTGAAACCCTTTCAAAAAGTGTTTCTAACAGTGTGTCCATACTAAGCTTTGCCACTCCCATTCCTCCCATCAAAGAAGTGCTTCTATACTTCATAAGTATTAAAAATTGAAAATGAAGCAAGTTCATACGATAATAAATGTAAAAAAATGGAGGAAGTGCATACTGCAAATCACCGACCTCTTGTTTTCTACCCTTGACCTCTCTTGTTTTCTGCCATGTATCTCTCTTTGTGCTTTAGTGTAAATGCGAGATTTCAACACAGAACATGTACTATTTATAGACTATTTTTTACCAAAATTCAAATTCAAAAAGATGTAATAATTATTTTTTGCATTATTTAAAACTAAACTATTTGTCATTCAATCATTTCAATGGATATCTTTATCAGTCAAAAGTCAAAAAGCAATTAATAGCATTGGAAAATGGAATACCAAAAGCAACTATTCCAATTCCCTAGGTGGGCATTTAATATGTAAAATCAGATTTTTTCGCCTCTTTGGTGCCCAAAAACAGGAAAACATTTTCAAGGCAAAACGCCGTGTTCCCCATGGGCGGGAAAATAATTTTTTTTTATTTGCCAAAAATGTTTGGCTTTATTATTATAGAGGATTTCCTTACTTTTAAAATGTCATATTAATAAATTTACAATTATTTATTATTCATTGTTCATTCATATCATTCTCAATCATTTTTCAAAAGTGTGCCTACTTTAATGGTAGAAAAAAATTCTTTTATTGATAAAAGAAAATAATTTTTTTTAGTTAATTTGAAAGTGGGTCCACATTAAATCAAATTACAAATTAATTTACGATGTTAAAAATAAAAAATAAAAAAGTTCACATTTCATCAAATTATTTTACAAAATCTGAAATAAAATAATTCCTACTATGCAAATATTCTAAAAAAAAATCTTGCATGATTTCAAACATATTCCTCATCTCGAATAAGCGGCCTTGTATATTTTTAGGCATCAATAATTCAATTCAATATATCAATATATCGAAGTAAAATAAATATTATTTTCAAAATTATCAAAAATAATAATAATATAAAAGATTTATTTAAAGTTTATTTAAATTAAATATAAAAATACAAAAATTAAATTCAAAATAAAATAAACATTATTGAAAATATATAATAATTTATTTTTTAAATTATATTATTAACAAATCAACAAACTAATAATAATAATATAATAATAATAATAATATAATAATAATAACTGTAATAATAATAATAATAATAATAATAATAATAATAATAATAATAATAATAATAATAATAATAATAATAAAAATTTAATAAACAAATAAACAAAAAATAATAATTTTGCAATTCTGACAGAAGAATTGCAAATTTTACCATTGTGCACCTCTTCACAATCTCACAATTGCAAAACAAATTAACATGGCTTTGTTTTTTTGTTTTTTGTTTTTTTGTTTTTTTTTTTTTTAAACATGTAAGCGCTGCAACCACAATGCTGCAGATAGCCTTACACTTTTCCATAAATTAAATTACTCACCGCTAAAAAATTCACTTTTCCGTGATTATAATATTTTTTTATCAAAGACAATCAAATACTTTAAAATTTTATTCAATTATCATTTTCTTAACTTTTCTAACATCAGTTTAGTATTTTGATTAGGAAAGAATTCTACAATATTGCAAAGGTTAGTATTTGCCTACCATTACAAAAAAAATTTTAAAAAAATGATAATATTTTTAAAAATAACTATCATCCTCTTTTACCAAGATGCTATTGTCCTTTTTTATTTATAATAGTCAATTACATAGTGCCTTTTTGACATTAAAACTAATGTAAGTTAAGGTGATAGGGTACTTCTATCAACAACTTCAGACCATGATTTTCAAGCTTGTTTCATCTTCAATGTGTGAATTAAGAAACACAGTGATGGATATCTGAGGAAGAGAAAATTGATGATGCAAAATTTCTGAGTATTTTACAGCATAATTAAGCTTTCTAAAAAAGAAGCTCAATCCAATGGCAGCCTGATACTATGTTTAGATGACAACTGTTAACGTGAAAGGGTGAAATTGGCTACTAACCCCTCTCAATAGGAGATGACCAAGCCGGTTGATTGGTTCTTAAAATACTCCGATGCTTTTTCAGGATATGCAGAATTTGCTATACTCAATACACAAAAAGAGTATGCATTCTAGCAGTTTCTGGGGATCCCGCAATTCAGTGCTCTAGCTCTCTCCCAAAACCAGGTTGATTGGTTCTTGAAAATACTGCAGAGATATGAAGATGGCTTCCTGTTGGCAAAAGATGGGGTGAGTTACAACCCAATATAAACAAAGACCTGACACGAAATAAAGAATTGTTCTTTTTTTTAAAAGCACCTCTGTTCGGATTGTTCTACTTCCTTGATGTGGACATGTGTTCAAATATTGATCAAATATATCTTGCGCATTTTTACCCTGCATGTAGCCAAGTACAGCAAGAATAGATTTTAGCTGGTCAAAGGCCCTTGGTGGCATAATATGCTTCAAATCTCGCAACAATCCAAACTTAATATATTTCTTTCTGATACCTTTAAACTACTGTCCTCTTCAATACACTCCTCCAAGCCCGCAAGCCCACCAAAAGCAATTAATAGGTGTCTAAATTTTAAAAACACCAATATAATGTATCTATTAGATTAAAAGAATGCTAGCATAGGAAACTTAAAGCACCATTAAGCAGCTATATTCAAGTACATGTCAACATGAAAATTGAACTTGCAGACAGTAAAAGGAATGTAGCTATAGATTCAACTGATGGTGTGTGAATGGTTAACATGTTGGCAAATTCTAGCTGCTGCATGAGGGATTGAGGGAGTAAAAGGTTACCTGAATGATGGCAAACTAAGTTCAGAAGACTTGACAGTGATACCATGTTCCGAGGTACCAATCAGATGATCATAGCCTCCCTATGTATGAAATATTAAGTTAACATCATGGACGATAATATGCACACATAAAATCCGACATTAGTACAATACCTTATACGGGCAATTCTTGAATACTGAACTAATATTGGAAGCATACCGCACTCTATAACCCCAATACATCCCTGCCTCTTCCCTTGGTGTGGAAGAAGAAACAACTTGGTGTGCTAGGTCTGAAAATTAAAATACGGAATTGAATTGGTGTTTTCAACTTTCAAGCATCAATTTTATATTGTGATACAAGGCTGTGAACAGCACATGAGTTATTACTATAGGAAATATAGTACACATTTCACAAAAGCTAATTTTATTCTGATAATATACAGTACCCATTTCACAAAAGCTGATCCCAGTATACAATAGGAAATAAGTTCTAAATTACCTAAGCTTTTCTCAACCACATCACCTACTCTAAATCTTTTAGAATTATAGGTGTGGTCAGTTGGAGGGATTGAAAAGAGGGAATAGAAACAAAGTTCTCATCATTCTTTGTTTACTTTTAGTTGTTAGAAATGAAGATGCAGCCAGAATGGGCATCCCAATTCCAGCTTTTTATTTGAGAATCAGATTTGAAAACTTCTTTCTTGTCCCTCCCATAAGATCCATGTATTTACTCACTAACTCACCCCTTACCTCCCTTCCCCTTCACTCTTTCTTGTTCCTGTTATCCTCCCCTCTCCCTACACTCCTCATCATTCCCACAACCTCACCCTTCATTTTCTCTGATGCACATATAATGGACATCTACATGTAGTGCATGGATATATGTATAGACCTAAGTATATATGATATGCATAGAAATTACAATTATTTAAGAAAATGCATAAATGTCCCTAAGCTGGTACCCAATACAAATATGGTTACATACATATATATATATATATATATATATATATATATATATATATATATATATACATATTTTATAAAATATGTACTATATAACATTTCTTTACATTTATATACAAAGTAATCTATTAGTGTGTCTTAAGATATAGAGCTGGTTTGCATTTTATTTTAGAATAATTACTAGAGAAACAATAATTCATAAATATTGATTTCCAATGCTGTTTAGGATGAAGATTAAAAGAAATAATAATAATAATAATAATAATAATAATAATAATAATAATAATAAAACCCCATCATTTCTCAATTTTTTAATCCAGTTCTGATACCTGAATCCAGATTACGGTCTGTTCCCATTGACACTGTCACCCTTTTACCTGGGTCAATGACTTGATCAATCTGTACATTCTGCACATCATGTTGATTCAACAATTAATATACACATTCAATCACAGCAAAATTAAAAACAAATTGGAAATGTGACAGAAAATTCCCAACAGCAATTAGCATTCTGGTCCATAGTCTTTGCCTAATTCACTGATAACAAGTGACAGCATGCATACAGAAAACAAAACAAAACAAAACAAAAAATTCAGTAGCACAGAAGGAACAAAAATGTTCCTAGTTCTACTGATGTTCGAGTTCTACTGATGAAATAATATTAATATGCCATCTAATTATCTTAATAATTAGTAAGAGCATCCATCATCATCCAACATGTGGCAGGTAAGGAGTGCAGCATGATAAACTATCAGTTCAGAGTTTTAGTATTGCAACAATTCCATCCACCACAAATTGCATGTTAAGGCTGGCTCACCCAAAGAACTTTATGGTTTGGCAAGAAGGTTAAAACTCTTCAGAGTTATTAAAAGCATGTCGATTGTTTCATTGACAAAAAAATGCTTCTTATCCCATCCCAAAGCACAAAAACATATTGTATATTTTGAAAAGATCCCTGCCACAAGGCAATTGCAGCCTGATTATGATAGGAGATTCATGAGGAGCTTCAAAACATCATGGGCCAAATTAAATTGCAGAGCAGAAGACTGCCAAAAGTTTAGGAAAAAGAATTCTGCTACAGTTCAAGACCAAATATCTTTACCAGAAGAAAAGTATCCGAAGGCTGAAATATGATTGTTTATTTGGTAATGGAAAACAAAAATTGAAATACCTTGCTAAGCCCCACATCGACCAGTGTTCCTCCAGAATTTGGATGCCGATCCCTTAGTGTGACACCTTGCAACAGAAAGGTGGAATGATCTCAGTTTCTCGCTATATGTTGTTGAAGCCAACAAATCATGTGACCTCAATAAACCCAAATGATATAGACCATGAAATGATATGGAAGGGAAATCGACATTCATGATTGGTCAGGATATGGATAACCATCGTTATCTTTTATTTAAGATAGACATCCTGAAAGAGATAATCCAAAGGGGTTATATGCAAAGCAACTTGCCTTAGAGTAAGATGAAAATGAGATCAACCATCACCATTGGGCAAAGATGCCAAAAAGGCATAAGGGATGAAATTGCTTTGCTAATAGGGAACTGGTTTACTAGAACTTCAATGACAATATTAGAAAACAAGATATGTGCAAAGTTCTAGCATCAGTCATTTAACCTTGTCAACAGAAAACTTACCTGAAGTTCAGAGATCAAGTGTAAGCCATCATATGCATAAAACTTTGCACAAACTTGTGTAAACAATGACAATATTAGAAAGAGTTAATTCAACCAGAGGTCCCTTGTCTTTGGTGGCAATTCTAAATTTAGTCCCAGACTATCATTTTTGCCATTTAACATCCCATACTATTATTTTTTAAACACTTTTAGTCCTTCTCATGACTTTTCCTACTTTTAGTAAGGGCATTTTTGTCTCCTCATATTTTTCTTTTGTTATTTTTCCGGTTTCAACCGGTTCAATTGGTTTAGGACTTTACTAAAAATCGATTGAAAATTATGGTTACTAAAAATCAGAGGCTACCTAAAGTTCTAAACCAATTGAACCGATTGAAACCGGAAAAATAACAAAAGAAAAATATGAAAAGACAAAAATGCCCTTCTAAAGAAATAGGAAAAGTCATGAGAATGACTAAAAGTGTCCAAAAAATAATAGTCTAGGATGTTAAATGGCAAAAACGATAGTCTGGAACTAAATTTGGAATTGTCACCAAAGACAAGGGACCTCTGGTGGAATTAACTCATATTACAATTAGAAAACAAGATATGTGCAAAGTTCTAGCATCAGTCATTTAACCTTGTCAACAGAAAACTTACCTGAAGTTCAGAGATCAAGTGTAAGCCATCATATGCATAAAACTTTGCACAAACTTGTGTAAGGAATGACAATATTAGAAAACAAGATATGTGCAAAGTTCTACCATCAGTCATTTAACCTTGTCAACAGAAAACTTACCTGAAGTTCAGAGATCAAGTGTAAGCCATCATATGCATAAAACTTTGCACAAACTTGTGTAACAATGACATATCACATATACCATCATAATATGTACAATAATAAAGAGTAAAATAAAAAATTCTTTGCCCAATTTTGAGGTTGGATTACTTTACAAAATATGCATATTTTATCAACCCATTGGGGGAAGGGGGAATGCTTAGAGAGTCAAATTTTCGCATTTTACGATTTCAACACCTTGTGCTTCTTATAAGGATATGCCCTGAATGATCACAAACCAACTTTGCATTGGATAGTACTAAAAAATGATTTTCATTAGATACAGTGAACCAAAGCCCCAAATTGAGGGAAGCAATATATTGTTCTTTAATAAAAGTTGATCTAGTTATGGATAAATAACAAATAGAAAAGTCTTATCTCATCTTGGGGGAATAAATTGAAGGGAAAACCATTGATAAATAATTTAAATTAAAACAGAAGTAACAAGTATGACAATAAAATTAATTAAAGTTATGTTTGTCATTTTGGCGTAAATACTACTATGAGAGTGAACCTTATAGTGAACATTATAGCACAATTTACAAGGGCATAAACACGAATAGGAAGAACTATGCATGCAACGATCAGAACATACTCAAAGAACAGAGAAAGAATGATAATAAAATGGGAAAAGGAATTATCTAAAGATGGAATCTTTAGGAATTGGGCAAATTAACATGTCTGTGTGTTGGGAGAATAGTAATGATTTTATCTTTGGATGCTACCTTCTCGATAAGGAGCCCATTCATGCTTCCGCAAATGGTGTGGGGCATCAAGTGGGGGTAATGAACCCTGACAACAAAGAAAACGCATAAAGACCCACATCAAGTTAGGTTGCTAAAAAAAAAAGTCTGTACATTATATACAGACCCACATATTGCATCCATATTGTAATCCAAGAAGAGAATTCGCACCACAAATCTTAAATTGTTATGCATGGGAAACAGACTCTTTCTTAGATACTGTGGTGTCTCCATATACCTCAAAATCATCAAAAGAAATGCTGCACCACTTTCATTTTCATCTAAATTATCCTCTGAAAGTACACCAGAACTATCTTGTGAATTGCCCATGTTGTCAAATACAACAACCTGTATATACAAAGCTTTAACTCATGTTAGTGCTGAAAATCTGAAATTTAGCAAGTTCCATTTCTTCTCAGACTTAATCACCTAAATTGAAGCATATTACTTATAATATTACAAGATATCAATCGACGATAATCACTCCTATATACAAGTAAAATAAGCAGTGAACTTAATACATTCATGGAGACTGGAAAATCACCTCATTTATCCTGAAAATGGTTGCAGCTCGAGCAATTTGGCCAGCCAGCTGCGTAAATTAACCCAGATTTAAAAATTAAAAATAAAATAAAATAAAATAAATTAAAATAAAAATAAAAGAAACAATGAATAAGTAGCAGTATCAAGCGGCTGATTCGTAAACAAACAAATGAGGACGTCAGGACGAGAAGGAACCAAAAAGAGGAAATTTTATGACATTTAGAGAAACTCGTCTCCTTTTCTCCCCGAGGCAAACAACCAAATAACTTCTAATATTTGATAAAGATGTCAATGTGTGAATATGCGCATATATATTCCCATTTCTACGTTGAGATACTACTAAAGCTGTGAATTGAAAGAGGAGTTTGAAGTATACTCGGGTGGCCAGTTCCAGGGACTGTGCATTGTCGATAATGGAACCAGGGAGGGCAATGGAGACTGTAGGCAGTTCATTTGAAACGGCGCCATTCCTTTCCTTCAATTTTTCCTTTTTCTTCTTCTTGTCTTTGGAATCACTATTCACAACCTCTGCTTCAATCTCAGGTCTACTTTTCTCTGCATCCTGTGCTTCCACTACTCGTTCGACTCTCTCCTCTTTCTTCTCCTTCTTCTTCTTCTTCTTTTTCTCCCTTCTTTTCTCATCGCGGTCGCCATTAACAAGCTTGAGCTCAAGATCGTTCTTATTGATATTGCCTGCATTTTGAGCCAGCTCTACTTCGGCTTCTCTTTCGGTTCTCTTCTTTCCCATTTCGACGTCGCTCAATTTCGCGAGGGACAAGTAGAGAGGGTTTTTAGGGTTTTAATTTTTAAAACAGATCCGACCCGAGTATAAGAAGTACTAGGGTACATCATACATGAGCCCGTTTATGCAATATTCAACCTGGGCCGTACGGCAGTCCAATTTCTATGTTCCGGCAAATTATACTGAACCACAGTCCACAATGTATTATGGTCCAAGCATAAAAACGGTGTCGTTTCTTTTATATCTACTATATATATATACTAGTTTTTTACGCGCATTGCGCGATTGGAATAATGCCCAATGTTTTTTTTAAATAAGTACTTTAAAGTATATATCAAGACAAGATTATATTGGAATTGTTCATGCATAGATAATTTTATGTTGAATTTACGTATTTAAATATGTAATTCTAAGTTTACAAATGCAAGATAATATAGTCAAGATTGATTATAATTGTCAATAAAATAATTGTATAGGTATGGTTGAAACCAAATCCGGGACATAAGGGAGAACAAATAAAAATTAGGGCATAAAATATTAAATATATACTAATATTGAAGAGCTAAATGCTGATTGCCAAACAAGGACATTGCGAGGTAGTTTCCTACCTCAATTTGTTGTGTGATTTGAATACTCTTTTTATCAATAAATATCCCAAGTAGTTAATATGATTGGCTTAATTATATATTTTTTTATTTTTTTAAAACAATTATTATTATTATTATTATTATTATTATTATTATTATTATTATTATTATTATTATTATACCCGTAGGTCATTTTACATGTTAATCTAAACGGCTAATTTTTTCAAATATCTTTTTATCAACCGTTGATATAATTCGCTGGTCAAATCCGTTAACGTTAACCGCTAACTGCTGATTGTCAAACAAGGACATTGCAAGATAGTTCTCACTTCAATTCGTTGTGTGATTTGAATACTCTCTTTGTCAACAAAACCCCTCAAGTAGTTAATATGATTGGGTTTATTAATTATATTTTTTAAATTTTTTTCATGGTATTAATAAAATACTTGGTAAATAAATATATAACATTATTTTGTATTATAAATTTGATATTTAATTAAAAAATAGTGCACAAAAAATATAATAGTCAATGTAGTGAATATAATCAATTATGAATTTGAATGTAAAGAATTTTTACATTGGAGAAAAATAAAGACAATATAACTAATAAAATTATTTATCTTAATTAATTTATTGATAATGAATAATTTTTTTTTTAATAAAGACATTGTAGGGACAATGTAGCGAATATAATCAATTGATGAATTTGAATATAAAGAATTTTTATATTGGAGAAAAATAAAAACAATATAACTAATGAAATTATTTCTCTTATTTAATTTATTGATAATGAATAATTTTTTTTGAATAAAGACATTGTAGAAACATAATTCTAAATTAAAGAAATGTATATGTATTATTTCTTGGTTGTAGCTACTAAATTATTATTTTAATTTAATAAAAGTAAAATAGAGTACTAAATATGCCAACTGTGATTGGGATGAGGTTCGAACTTAAGACCTTTCTTATTGAAATCAATGAGTAGTACTAAATATGCCAACTTTGATTGAGATGAGGTTCAAACTTAAGGCCTTTCTTATTGAAATCAATGAGTAAGTTAACGGTGTACTAACAGAAGTTAACGGAAAAATAATATTTAACGGAAAAGTTAACGGATAATCATATTCATTAAGGATAAATTAGGAAATTTTAAGAAAAATTAAAATCTGATCAATCTGAGCCATTCATTTGATTAAAAAATTTGACCGCCATTTTTTCTACCCATTATAAGCCTAACTCTCTTGGGCTCTTATTAGTATAGTAGATATATATATATATATATATATATATATATATATATATATATATATATATATATATATATATATATATATATATATATATATATATACACACACACACACACATAGGAAATATGAAATAATAATAATAATAATATTATCCGTTAATGAATATGATTATCCGTTAACTTTTCCGTTAAATATTATCTTTTCCGTTAACTTCTGTTAGTTCACCGTTAACTTACTCATTGATTTCAATAAGAAAGGTCTTAGGTTCGAACCTCATTCAAATCAAAGTTGGCATAATTAGTACTCTATTTTACTCTTATTAAATTAAATATATATATGCATTTCTTTAATTTAGAATTATTTGTCTACAATGTCTTTATTAAAAAAAAAATCATTATCAATAAATTAAATAAGAGAAATAGTTGCATTAGTTATATTGTCTTTATTTTTCTCAAATATCAAAATTCTTTACATTCAAATTCATCAATTGATTATATTGCTACATTGTCCCTACAATGTCTTTATTAAAAAAAAAATTATTCATTATCAATAAATTAATTAAGAGAAATAATTTTATTAGTTATATTGTCTTTATATTTTTCCAATGTAAAAATTCTTTACATTCAAATTCATTAATTGATTATATTCACTACATTGTCTATTATCTTTTTTGTGCAATATTTTTTAATTAAATATCAAAGTTAAAATACAAAATAATGCTATATATTTATTTACCAAGTATTTTATTAATACCCTGAAAAAATTAAAAAATTATAATTAATAAAGCCAATCATATTAACTACTTGAGGGATTTATTGACAAAGAGAGTATTCAAATCATACAACAAATTGAAGTGAGAATTACCTCGCAATGTCCTTGTTTGACAATCAGCAATTAGCGGTTAGCGTTAGCGGATTATGGCATTGTTTGGCAATTAGCGGTTAGCGTTTGCGGATTGTATTAGCGGTTAGCAAATAGCGGGTTTGACCAGCAGATTGTATCAGCGGTTTGTAAAAAGATGTTAGGTGAAATTAACTGTTTAGATTAGCGGTTAACATGTAAAATGACCAAAATAGTATAATAATAATAATAATAATAATAATAATAATAATAATAATAATAATAATAATTATTTTTGAAATAATAATAATAATATAATAATAATAATAATAATAATAATAATAATAATAATAATAATAATAATAAAAACAAAAATGATGTGGGATAAAAATCCCACATCGAAAGTTTTAGAAAATAATTATTCATTATCAATAAATTAATTAAGAGAAATAATTTTATTAGTTATATTGTCTTTATATTTTTCCAATGTAAAAATTCTTTACATTCAAATTCATCAATTGATTATATTTACTACATTGTCTATTATCTTTTTTGTGCACTATTTTTTAATTAAATATCAAAGTTAAAATACAAAATAATGCAATGAAAAAATTAAAAAATTATAATTAATAAAGCCAATCATATTAACTACTTGAGGGATTTGTTGACAAAGAGAGTATTCAAATCACACAACAAATTGAAGTGAGAATTACCTCGTAATGTCCTTGTTTGACAATCAGCAATTAGCGATTAGCGTTAGCGGATTATGGCCTTGTTTGGCAATTAGCGGTTAGCGGTTAGCGTTTGCGGATTGTATTAGCGGTTAGCAAATAGCGGGTTTGACCAGCAGATTGTATCAGCGGTTTGTAAAAAGATGTTAGGTAAAATTAGTTGTTTAGATTAGCGGTTAACATGTAAAATGACCAAAAGAGTATAATAATAATAATAATAATAATAATAATAATAATAATAATAATAATAATAATAATAATAATTTTTGAAATAATAATATAATAATAATAATAAGAAAAAAAAATGATGTGGGATAAAAATCCCACATCGAAAGTTTTAGAAAATAAATGGCGTTGAGCTCCCTTATAAAAGGGAGCTCAACGCCAATTAGTTTCTCTTGCCCATCCCGCATCGGATGTGCAAGAGAAGAGAAGCATGAGGCTTCTTTATTTAAAGAAGTCACAGGCTTCTTAAGGATTAGTGTAATTTTTTTTATTTTTTTTTTATAAAATAAAAATAAAAATGGAGGGTGTTTTTGGGGAAGAATTTTCCTTCCCCAAAACTCCCACCCCAAATGCTGCTCCGCGTTTGGGATTTCAGCGGTTTGGAGCAAACCGCTGCTCCGAATTGCTGAGTAACCAAACATGGTTGTCAAAATGTCAAAATGGTGGGATCCGCTATTAACTAAACAAGGCCTATATTAGCGGATTTGACTAGCGAATTATATCAACTGTTGTTGATAAAAAGATGTTTTTATTAACAATTTGGGCGATTTATTGACAAAAATTTAAAAAATATAATTGAAGTGTCCTTGTTTGACAATAGCAGTTAGCTCTTCAATATTAGTATATATTTAATATTTTATACCCTAATTTTAATATTTTATACCCTAATTTTTATTTGCTCTCCCTTATGTCTCGTATTTGATTTCAACCATACCTATACAATTATTTTATTGACAATTATAATCAATATTGACTATATTATCTTGCATTTGTAAACTTAGAATTGCCTATTTAAATACACAAATTTAACATTCAATTATCTATGCATGAACAATTTCAATATAATCTTGTCTTGATATACCTTAAAGTACTTATTTAAAAAAAAAAAACATTGAACATTATCCCAATCGCGCAATGCGCGTAAAAAACTAGTAATAAAAGAAATGGCATCTGTTTCACGCCGTCTGCAAAAAGTAACTTATAACATATTCAATTTCATTTTGTATACACTGCAGTTTCATTTCAATACAACTACAGTTTCATTTCGATATAATTACAGTTTCATTGCATAATATACACTCAAATATGTGAAATGTTATTCAGTTTCATTTTATATACATTGCAGTTTCATTTCAACACAACTACAGTATTATTTTAATATAACTACAGTTTCGCTGGACAATATACACTTAAATATGTGAAATTGTTATTCAGTTTCATTTTGTATACATTACAGTTTCATTTCAACATAACTACAGTTTCATTTCAATTCAATTGCAGTTTCATTTGATAATATAAAAATAATACGGGAGGCAGTGTCAGTTTAGATACACTGTAATTTCATTTGGTAATTAAAATACCAAAAATACGCGCTCCGTTAAGCTGTAACTGTTGTCGTTTTTTTACTTAAAGAAATAGCGTCATTTTTTTTTACCATGGTCCACG